CCCCAAAACCCCAAAACCCCAAAACCCCAAAACCCCTTATTTTCTAATTTAGATTGAAAGCTCATAAATCTCTTGGAATTACATCATATCTCTGCTCTCAAGAAGCCTGACTATTGGATTCTTTGCATGTCTGAACAATCCTACAAAGTGTTGATCTTCAAGGTCTCTGATGGCATTTCTAAAGTCAATATCATGAAGCTCCATGTTATTCTTCATCATTCTGAGTTTGACTTCTTCTCTTAGGTTTGAAAACTGGACACCATGTCTAGACTTTTCTTCATCTTCCTTCAGCAGCTGTCTAATTACTTGGCAGATAGAGGTGATGGTATCTCTTCTAGAAGAGGAAACTCCACTGGTAAGGATATCCATATCAATCTTTCCAGTCGTTGGATCAGTCGCTGCTTGCTGTGTAGCTACCTTTATTAATCTGACAGCTTCTTCTACATCTCGTCTTAACACATTTGATGCTAGTCTCATCTTTGCAAGAGCTTCTGAAAGCCTAATCAAGCTTTCAAGCTGCCTAGGAGTAGCTGTGATTGTCTTAAATGCACTTCCGATATTTCTCATTTTAAGGTATTCTTCTGAAAGTAGCTCAGCAGCTTCTTCAGTGATTAATGGCTCAACTTCTTTCCTGGCATAAGAGATGTATCTGGTCATGAACTCTCGAGATACCTCATCTTTATTTTCAGCCTCCTTTACTTCCTCTCCAAATAAGGACACAATATGGTTTGCAAGTCTTCTGTCAGTGATTTTTGAAGATCTATCTAAGACTAAGTATATCAAATCGAATCTTGATAGAAGAGTTGGTGGAAGCTTAATGTTTTCGACAACAGAGAGCTTAGGGTTATACTTTGACTCTATCGGGTTTGCAGCAGCTAGGATCGCAGTTCTTGAGTTCAGAGTGCAAATAATCCCAGCTTTAGCAATAGAAATAGTCTGCTGCTCCATTGCTTCATGAAGAATTACTCTTGTGCTGTCATCCATTTTATCAAACTCGTCAATACAACAAATACCTTTATCAGATAGTACGAGTGCCCCACTTTCAAGTATGAGTTCTTTTGTTTCTGGATCTCTGGATACATAAGCTGTCAATCCCACTGCTGATGAGCCTTTACCACTAGTATAGATACCTCTTGGAGCTATCCTATGAACATATTGAAGTATCTGAGATTTGGCGGTAGAAGGGTCTCCAACCAAAAGGACATTTATCTCTGACCTAAATCTTCCTCTTCCGCTTTCACTGAAATCTCGATTTGTACCTCCAAAAAGTTGGGCAAGTACTCCTTTCTTGATATCATCATTTTCCCAAATGCTCGGAGCTAGGCTTGCCACTAATCTCTCGTATCATCTGCTGTCTGAAGCAAATTCTCTAAATTGTTCAATTTCTTTTTGAGTAAAAGTGATGATATCCTCTTGTAAGGTATCGACAAGGTCATCATCTTCCATTTCAATATCAAAGTCTTTTTCTTTTTCCTCAGTCTCAACCCCATACCTGGATATATCGACTTTTTGAATATGAACCTAGAGGTTAAGGTTTAGAAACTTACCACATCGATGTAGGTGACAAAGATGTTCTTCATTGTTCTCATGTTGGAATTCACTCTCATTCCTTGTGCTCTGTAGATTCCAACTACTTCTACTCTATCTCCGGGTCTGACACTGTCAACTAGCTCTTCGAAGACACAGAGCTGGATGTGGTGAGGAGTGTCTCCATCTGGAATATTTTCTTGTACTTCTTGTAGCTTTATATGCTGCTTATCTCCAAACTGGCACATATTGTGGATGATCTCAAAGCAATGGGTTGTTCTGCAATTACTGCACTCAGTTGGGTGCTCTACCTTAGCTCTGTATACAGGGACACATTGTCTTTGGTTACAGGCTGCACACTTAAAGTGTCCTTCTTTCATTTCAGGAACAATATCAGAAGTCCTGATGACAATACCTCTTACTGAAATAAGTTTGTCAATATCTTCTGGCTCCAGATGTCTCAAAAGCTTAGAATGCCTGATATTCAAAGGTCTGACCTGAATTACATTGCCTGTATCATCATCTGGGCAGAGCTCTTTATACATCTGGTTGACTACAGAGTCAAAATAAGGGATCATCTCGCTTGGAAAATTAATGAACTGCTTATAAAGATTAGCATCATACCCATAAAGATGATTACAGTCCATATTAAGTACATAAATCTGAGTCTCTGAGATCTGCTGCATCTGTCCCATATAGCAAGGAGCCTCGTCTGGATCATCAAGCTGAGATTTTTCCACATAATTAGTCAAGAAATTCTTGAATCTCTGCTGAGCATCAGAGGTGTTTATGTTGGTTCCCCATACCACTTGAGTCATTTGTTGTTCCGTATGAGACAACATACTGCTTCCCTAAAGAAGTTATGAGCTTTTAGAACAACTTAGGCAACTTACTTGACCTCCTGGAGCCATACTTGGAGTTCCACTCGGGAAGTTTGCTGGAAACAATGGTCTCCTGAAAGCACCTTCAGCATCAATATGTCCTCTCTTATTTGTTATAATCAACATAAGATCCCAACAGACTAAAAGATGATGGTTGCCAAACTTACCTATTAGATGGCTCGATCATATTAGATCCGTGCATATCGGTTCCTGGATCACCCATATTACCCCCTACAGGCAATGTATGATTTCTTTGGTTGTTCTCTACTCTTCCAGACCCTGATAGTCCTTCATTGGAGTTTAGTTGTGGGTTACTCATTTTTACTAAAATATTTTAATAAATCTGCTAATAAATTGTATCAATCCGGTGTCAATTTAAAGGGGTTTTGGGGTTTTGGGGTTTTGGGGTTTTGGGG